ACCTGTTTGACCAGCGAAGATCTGGAAAGAGAATTGGTGCCATCTGTTGGAAACAGAAAACAAGGACAGTCGTCAGTTTTGGCTTTTAGCTTTTCTGCACATTTATCCATTTTATTTTTTCCTTCCCTTTGTCATCAAGGGTATAAATACAGAAAAAGCAGCACCTGCTGGCATGGCAACTCTTGAGTGTAACCTACTGCTTCCTGAGTGGATACCAATGTCCTTCGAGTGGTCAAGAAAGGAGAAGACAGCCCAAACAAAAATCCTACAGTACCAGCAGTAGAGGCTATTCCGCAGTCGTAAGTCGGTTCATCTCTTCTGAACTGCCAGAGACAGAATCACTAAACCACCAGACTTCTGGTTAATATTTTTCTCTTCTTCCCAGAGAAAAGTGTAAAGCAGCTCACTGACCGGCACAAAAGCACTTTGTTATAGAATCATAGAATCACAGAATGGTGTGAGTTGGAAGGGACCTTAAAGATCATCCAGTTCCAACCCCTGCCACAGGCAGGGACACCTTCCACTAGAGCAGGTTGCTCCAAGCCCCTGTGTCCAACCTGGCCTTGAACACTGCCAGGGATGGGGCAGCCACAGCTTCTCTGAGCACCCTGTGCCAGCACCTCAGCACCCGCACAGGGAAGAACTTCTGCCTAATGTCTAGTCTAAATCATCAGGGCTCCCAACACAGGGCCATGTACCTAGAAGAAATAGTATAGAGTCCTTTTCACGGCCGCTGCTCTTGCTAGACTGACAATAAGTGGAGACATTTTTGCCAGTTTGACTCCAATCACTATGTTTATGAGAAAATAAAACATATAGATGACTGGTGATGGAATGGATTTGTTACAAGAAAGAAATCAGAGCTCCTGGTGATGAATTTTAGCAACTCAGCAAGATCAAACTGCAACTGTTTTTGAGGAAGGTAAAATTTGAAAAGGAAAACCATTACATTACAATCTCTCTAGATAGAATCAAGCTCCAAATTAGATCATCTAAAAGCTGCTCTAGAGCGTCTTCATGTCATTGCACAGGCAGTTACATAACTGCAAATGTAAAGTAAGTTATCTGTTCAGCTGTACATTGGAGGGATAATGACACACCATATTAAACTGTGCAGTAGAGGCCAAAACCAATTAGATACATTCTTTGCCACGACCTTTGCTTCACATATCATGCCCACAACAAGGTTATCAGATTGAAAACATGATCTTTGGCCACATTTTCTGCTACTTTATTTCTGTAATCTCTTGGCTTCCTGGACTTCACATCTGATAATTCTCCCTTTCGAGCAGTAGGTTCCACACTAGACTGATAATCGAAAATCTGTGATGATCCCAGATTTAACATATCACACCATCTGTAAATGGCAGATAAACATTCAGATCATACATCTACTTTCCTGCTCTTTGTAGTTGTTTTACTGTAGATGATAATCTAAGACCTGACACTGCTTAATGTAAATTTTACCAACTAGCTCTGAGCACTCTCCAGGCCATGGTAGCATTTAACTGATGGAAGAAATTAATGCATTTCATTATCTTCTCTCTAGGTTATGGCGACATTCACCACACAGTACTGCTGACTGCAGAAGTTGGATGCACTTCATAACATCCCCTCTCCCCCACTTAAGCCTGCAAAGAACGTATCTTCATGGTGTTTTCAAATTATATATCAACTGGAAATTAAGCTTAATCAGCAAATTTGAAACCACAGCAAACACTCCAGTATCTATGTTGGCAAGAAGCCTGGGTATTAATCAAGGGTAGTAGACCTTCCTCAGTAGATACCCCTGTGGACAGAACAGTCTCTTTAGGAACCTGAGCTGCTCAGAAGAAGCAATCCAGACTGGTGTGGTGTATATTCACAGTGTCCTGAGAGAGAAGTCAGTCTTTGGACTATATCTGTATGGTATCTACAGGATCCTGGCCAAAATCAGGAGTTTCCAGCAGCTACCACAGCAACAGGCAGAAACAGGAAAGCAACACTGAGACTAGAAAGACAGGACGAACAGGGCCAACATAAGAGAATCAAAGGCAGCATGAGTTCCACATAATATAAAACAGATAGACAGATGGATAAAATTTAAGACCTGTGTGTATATACATAGAGACATACACAGAGAGAGGTCCCTCATATCAAAGCTTTCTGAAGTTCAAGCCTTTGTCCCAGCTTTGTTTGATTCTCAGGGTTCAGCTGCTGGACAACTGTAAAAACAGGATCCAAGCTGTTAGCCCACAGTGATGTGAAGATAATTCAGCACAACTCGCCATCATTTCAGACTAAGCTAAGCTGCATTATCTCACATTCACTAGGGAGTAAGGGTGTACACAAAGGACTGTTTTCATGGCTCAGCTGCTGCAGGGGAATTTCTTAAGTAATTTCACTGAATCTGAGCCCTCAGACCTCAGTCTATTTTTGCAAACAAATGTTAGGTAGCAGCATGGGGAAAGCTAGACACATTTGTACCACTTACCTCTGAATATTTACCATCTGTGCATACAGCATAGATAGATGAGCAACTCATAGCTCAGCAGCTCAAACCACTCACCAGGAGAGTCAGAAGTCTCCTTCCTTCACTGAGCCAACACACTCCACCCCTACTTGAACAAACCAAATTCATCTCATGAGAGAAGAAAAGGGATCTGAATAAATTAGGTGGGTCCAAACAATTGTCTTCTCTGTTGTATTCCCAGAGGGCTCATGTGTAACAAGAGTTTAGTGAGAACACTTTCATGTTCCTTAGATAGGAGCAATTTTTCCTTTAACATAAAATAATTGACTTTTAGTCAATTTAGTTTTTAGTTATTTATCTACTTCCCTGAGCTACAAGGATTTTTCTTTGGCTTTTAAAAAGCAAACTGTTTCATTCCAATTAGAATCAGATACATCGCTTTTCATTCCTTCCATTTTACAACTGCAACTAAGGACTGTTCTTGTATTTGGATCTCTTTAAAGAATTGTGAGATACACAGAGCTTATTGGCAGGGAGGCACACATCAAAATGCTGAACTGCTCCCCAGAAACTTGGATATTTACTGTCTAAATAAGATCTGTTCTCAAAAATTCATTCTGGGTACTTAAAGCAGATCTGGAATTACAGTGGGAGCAAACAGCTACCAGAAGTGCAATAAAATAGCAAATATTTCTTTAACTTCCTCTGACAAGTAAAACTCAGTTGATCTTTGCTGCTCCTTTTGCCTGTGCAACACATGCAGTAAGGTCCTGCAGTTTGCAAGAAGTGAGCTTGAAGCTCAAATAAAAAGCCAGGATGAGCTGCTAGTATTTCTGTTCCTCACTCTCAGAGAAGCTCTTTTTATTGCCCTTCTAACTCCCATATACTCCTAACTAACACACTGGCCATAGATGCAGTGATGGGACAATGACAGTAAGTCAGAGATCACACTGCCTCAAGGAAAGATCTCAGTGTACCTACGAGGAGTCAGATTCCATTTGCTAGCAGTGTAAGCAGAAAGCACGTGGATTATGGGCTCAGCATGCATAAACATGTTATCAGACCTGTTGCCTACCAAACAGGTGGTTTCATTTCTAGGGAGATTTGTAACCTGCACCTTCAGTTTGAATGCTGAAGTTCATCAGCTGTGATAGGATTGTTCCCTGCTAGCATCCACTGTGCACCTCTCTTTTCTCCCTTGTGGCTGCAGTGCTTGGAGGCAGCTGGAAACACCAGTCCTCAGAAAGGTACTATTTCATGAAACAGCAGTTTCATATCACAGCAACATCTTCAAATCAAAAGCGTTTACCTTCAAGCTGTGTAGCTCTTTAATGAAAGATTGGTATTTTCTACATGGGAAGCTGACATTTTAGCTTAATGGCATTTTTTTCCACTGAAAAGGAACAAAAATATCATAGTTGGCCCTACTACTTAAGAACAGGTACAATGAGGTACTTCCAGCCCAGCATCCTGCTGAACACAGTCACCAAACCACTGGGACTGTTCAGCATGAGCTGCCCCAACTAACCCCATACCTGGGAACCAGACATTTAAAGACTTCCTGGGCCAGACACCACATCCAGCTCTGTTGTTTGATAGGCATTAATGGGCTACATCCCCATAGCGTGACAAACTCCATCCTAATGGATTTGATCCTGTGGCAATAATCACTAAAATATCATTATTGTTCAGCCTGAAGAAGGCTCTGGGGAGAATTTAGAGCAGCTTCCAGTGCCTAAAAAGGCTGACAAGAAATCTGGAGAGGAGCTTCTTTTAAGATCATGTACCTGACAGAGGGGAGATTTGGATTAGGTATTAGGAAGAGATTCTTTACTATGAGGGTGCTGAGGCGCTGGCACAGGGTGCCCAGAGAAGCTGTGGCTGCCCCATCCCTGGCAGTGTTCAAGGCCAGGCTGGACACAGGGGCTTGGAGCCAACCTGCTCTAGTGGAAGGTGTCCCTGCCCATGGCAGGGGGTTGGAACTGGGTGAGCTTTAAGGTCCCTTCCAACCCAAACCATCTCATGCCTCTATAACTGTGCCTTAGAGCCCTTGAAACGGTTACCTTCCATTTGCCTCAAACCCTCCACCTGATCCCATCTAGGCCTTGTGCAATAAGAAGCCTTTCCCAGTCACCCCTCTTGACACAGCTTTCCTCTACCATTACCCTCCAATCTTCTCCTGTGGAGGCACACGGTTTTACCCGTGACAGTAGCATGCTTCCCACAGTAAGAAGGACTACACAAGCACCAGCGACCTTGCCTCTCCTTAGAGGATTCTGCCTCCTCTCCCGCTCCCCTGGGCAGGAACCGGGGTGGGTGCGAAGGAAGGGAGACGCTGAGTACCCCGAGAGCAAGCAGCGCACCCTGAAGGCGCCCGGAGCCTGCCCAGGGTGGGCGGGAAGCGCGGAGCTCGGGAAGTCCCCGCGGAGGAGGAGGCGGAGGAGGCGGGGACGGGCAGTCAGCTGAGCCGGGCTGCCGGCGCCATGGGCGTGCAGTGACGGGGGTGAGCGGGGAGACGCTCGGTGGGCGGGGGGGGGGCAGCCCCTCAGGCGGGCCCGGTGCGGGGGGACGGCGGGCGGCTGCTGGTTCCCGTTACAGTCCCTATGGGCGGGCTCGCCCCGTGACTCGGCGGATCTGGGGTGGGCCTGCGGATGGGCGAGCGCGGAGACGCGGGTTTGCGGCTCCCGGGGTTACACGGGGGAAGAGGAGGGGTTGCGAATGTGCAGGGACGAGCGCCTCAGCCTCCGCCGGTACTGCGGCGGGTGAGCGGTGGAGAAGGGGAAAGGGGCCAAGAAAGCGAAAATGAAAGTTAAAAATGAGCGGAAATGGTATTTTTGCGTCGGGGGGTGGTGGGGGGGTGGTGCGGTAGGGTACAGGCCCTGTGAGGGCCGGGCGGGTGTCGGAGCCCGATCTCCTCAGGGGTGGTAGTGCCGGCTCCCGACATACTGCCAGGCTGCGCGTCCAGGGCTGCTGAGGGCAGAGGGGCAGTGGGTGAGACGGGCCTTCTCCCTGCCTCAGCCCCAGGGAAAGGGGCTCCCGAGGGAGGTTGTCACGGGAGATCCCACGGGGATCAGTTGCTTTAGTCATGCAGCCCTTAATGGGTTATGGAGGCTGATGGATACTCTGGTGTAGCGGGGTCAGAGGCATTGGAGGGTGACTGTGTATTATGACAAGATGTATGGCTTGCTTAATAAAATGAAGAAATCATGGAATGGCTTGAATCGGAAGGGACTTTAAAGCTCACCTAGTTCCAGCCCCCCTGCCACAGACGGGGACACCATCCATTGGGCAAGAAATTAAGAGTTTTCTCTTTGCAAACCTTGTAGTAGATGCGTCAGAGATGTCCAGCAAGTTGAAGAGCCGTCCTGCTGAAAATGTAGAGCATCCCAAGAGAAAAATGGAGAATGGAACAGACAGTGTGGCTACCCCTGCCCTTAGTACCTACACTCCAGAGGAGATGGTACAACAGATGAAGGAACTAATCACTGAGAACAATGAGTTAAAAGGTGAAGGTTCATGTGAACTGGTCTTGAAATGCAAAAGCCCTGAGTTTCTTCTGTGGGTGTTATTTTGTCCTATGAGTATGAATTCTATGCTTGTTTGCCCTTGCTGGATAACATTTTATACCTGGGTAGCATTTGCTGTATAAACAACTCTGTAAATGGCAAGGCTAAGTGATAGGACTCATCAAATTGAATTGGTATGGATAAGATTAGGAGGAGAACAGCCCAATAGATGGGTGACTGACTTGCTTTAGAATTATATATATAAGCAGTATAGCACTGTTTTAGGAGGCGAGGAGAAAATCTCCTGCTATGATACGTTCTTTGCTCATCAACCTCTAAAAGCTTTTTTGGTTTGCATTTTAGGACTGTTGGGCAGCTCCATTGCAGACAGACTAACATTTTGCCATAGCTGTGTCAGGAGGGCTGGGTATTGCCCACTGCTCAGAACAGTCTGGGTTAGGATGCTGTGTGAAAGGAGCTGCATCCTCTTGGGCAGAGAGAACAATTGGAGCAGGCACTGAAGTGTGTGTAGTAACAACTGTGAATGTTTAGATGTGGCAGCACCTTCTATACTTCAAAAGGAAGTGGTGTCCATGGCAGGCTCTATCTGGGACAAAATGAAAGGTTTCCCTGAAAACGCCTGATGGTTTGAGTCTTGCAGGTGAGATAGATTTGTTTCTGGATCCCAGGAGTTTAGGTGTCACATATGAATATTTTTTCCTTTTTAAATGGATAGAGCCCAAGGGATCTGGGAAATTTCTGTGTAAAAGACAGAGGTACCTCACTGTTTATATGGCAGTGAAGTCACATATCTTGTGTATTTTGCTTTTACACTAGTGTTTGAATTCCACCTGAATTATTTTTGGAGCTGGTCCATGTTCTCTGCCTTACTGTCCCATGGATATCTGGCAGGAGAGTTGTTTCTAGAGCTATCTCTGGTATTTTGCTAAAAGGTCCTGTATCGTATGAGATAATGTTTTGGGACTATATTTACAGCTGCTGTAACTCATGCTTTGCAGAATCATTCTCCTGAGCTACACGTATTTACATAACCTGAAGGTTTTGTTGGCAGTGTATAATATGACATCGGGACATAATGGAAGTTAGTGAAAATACAGTGTATAAAAGATTTTCACATAACTGGCTTTGAGTTTCTTGTGCTAAAAAAAGCCAGTCTGAAGTACTTGCATTGACTTTTCCTAAGATTCTTGTAAGCATTTTGCAATACAGACTTTGTTCCCAGCCAGGGAGAATTGACTTTGCTGTAAGTTGTTTGGTATATTTTTTACCTTAACCAAATGTTGAAGTAGAGCATTGTTGGGCATGTTTGAGACACTTGATTTGATAGCATCTGTTTCCACTTACCAGTCTAGGATGTCTGTTATCCCTTCCAAGTCTCAGTAGTTTCAGAATCTCAGTTCAGTAGTTTCATTTGGGTTGATCATATAAATGACCAAATGCCTCTTGTGAATACTTCTTGGTTTAGGAATAAGTCAAGAAGAGAAAGAATTGTGGGCTTGTGATTTCTGCAGTGGATTTAATGCTATTTATTATAGTGCTAATAGCATAAGAAGTTTAATTCTGGTTTGGCATTTAAGGTACACAAGGAGATTTGCATTTCATACCCAGTTATTGATAACCCATTTGATACTGAGAAATGCTGAGCTCAGTGTAGTGAAAATCTGCTGTTTCACTGACAGAGGATTAATGTGAATCCATGTCTTGTCTCTGGGTATCTTTTAGAAGCCATGAAGTTGCATAACCAAGCTATGAAGGACCGATATGAGGAGCTTTCCATCTGGCGAGAGAAGCAGAAAGAAGAAAGAGAATTTTTTGAGTCGAAGTTTAAGGAGGCTAAGCAGTGCTTGCTAGCCAAGTGCACTGAAAATGAACAGCTACAGCAGCAGCTTCAGAGCTTAAAGGAAAAAGAAGTAGGAGCTGAAAGGGTAAATAAGGAATTGGTTGGATTGACACGCTTTTGAATTGAAAATCTGGAGTGTTCAGGTCCTGCATCACACTGGGAGGTTTGGAGATTTGTTAACATCTCTACTTTTATCCTGATGTTCTAACAAGAGATCTTGTCCTGACTTAGCAGTGAGGCTTCTCAGAGTGTAGTAACAAAAAATTGTACCACATCTGAGACAACTTACATTTCCATTCACATTTAATTAACAATAATAATTAACATTCTTGACAGAAGAAATAAGAAAGTAACATTTCTTGCTGACTTTTCATTCTTTATTTTGACTTCTCTTGGGTATCTCTTGACTTTACCCCTCCTATTGCTCATTAGATTATCTGCGTCTCATGACTGTTTAATTACTTTTGTATTTGTGTTTCCAGGGAGAACTTTACATTTAAGAAAAAAATACAATAATGACCTTCCTTCTATTTTTTATTATATTATTCTACTCTCACAAAAGCTTTTTTGCTGAGGTCAGGCTGGATCTGTACTTCTACTGTCCCATTTGATTCTGAGCTTTCTCCCTCTGCCTTACCTTTGGCTCTGTAATACGTCATTTCTAATATTGCAGGTAATTGATTAGTAGCCAGGCAACATTTTTCTGGTAGTACAGAAGACTTCTATGGACAAAGCCTATTAAACCAAAACCTGCTTTGTGTCCCACATGGTTGTGTGAAGAGATGTTAAACAAGAAGTTTCATGCAGAGCCAAACTGATGGTTTCTCTGTTGCCTGATGAAGGATGACTGCATTAGCCTTTTTCTCAATGGACGCCCTAGTAGATACACCTTTCCTCTCCTGACTGTCTGTTTTATGGAACTCTGTTAGAATGTTTTCAGTGTGTAAATCAAAATCAGCCAGTGAGTTCTGAAGTTACAAGGAGGAAGAAAGTCATGTATGAATAGTGTGGTTGTGTAAGTATTACACAATCTTTACTTCATAGGCTAAAACTTGTGTTTCAGGATTGTCAACGAAACTCAGAATTTCATAAATCTGGAATAGTTTTTAAGAGGAAATAGAGGATTTATTCTGCCTTTACCTGTTTTAGAACTTTTTGTACTTTAAATTCTTAAAGCATGTTCCTGACATAGTGATCCAACCTGCTTGAGTAATCCAACATCCAGAAAAGTAGAAATAAATCTCTTGTAATAATCTCATTCCAAGAGCTTCATAGGGTAAACCCTGGTTCTTCTATGATTCTTTGCAGTTTTACGAGCGATTAGTAACTGTAATTTAAACAGCAACATTTTCATTCTTGATGGTGATTTTCAGGCTGACATGCTATATAAGCCAAAAATTACTTTATTTCTTGAATACCTTAGTTTTACTTTCTTTTTTTATTGTTTAGAAAGAACACAGAAAAAAAATCCTCCTACAGGAAGACATTTAAAATTAGTCCAATTTCTTTCCCTCTGTGTTTTAGTGTTAGCTGAGATAGTCTATAGGCCATTGCTACCATTAAGTGACATGTCTGTCTCATTCAAAATAAATCACAGATATGTTGTGTTGCCTCCTTTAGTGAAAAACCATCATTCATAGAAGGTTTTCTCTCAAAACTGTACCTGTTAGCCCAGGTTGCTGCAAAGCTCTCTCTTCTTCATTGGAGCTTCATTGCATCCTTTTACAGCATAAGCACAAAATCAGAGACAGCAGCAAATGAGGTCGGTAGGGTGGTACTTTGGGATGAGAGACACTGAGAGCAGAGCAAGAGTTCAGAGATTTGGCATGAATGATGGATTAGAATGTAATTCAGACTCCAGAATTGTCCAGAATTTACACTGGTGATACGTGGTGTAATAAAGGCATTACAAGGAAATGGAAGGTTCAGGTTACAAAACGAGGAAGAAATAAACTCACAGGAAGGTTTCATGATGGGGAATGGTACATAAAGGAGAGGGGAATTAAAAAAAAAAAAAAAGAGGCTTCCTGGTTATGCAGAGGCTTAAGAGAAAGTCTTGGGGATCCTGGGAAAAGGGAAGAGGCAGAAGGTGAAGGAGACGGTCATGGCTGGAAGAAGAGATTAGGTTTGGGGAGACTCTCTGAGGGACTTTGTGAAAGAGGCTTTGTGGAAGCAGTATAAGGCTGTGTGGGAAGGTCATGGATACAGGGAGAGATTTATATGTGGAGGTGGGGTAAAGAGAAGTTGTATGGTGGGGAAAGGCTGAAAGTGGGGGGTGTGGAAAAGCTCTCCACCCACTTATCTTTTCTCCCTAGCATCTTAGGTAGACGTGGGAAAAGAGGAATAAGAATATGGGTGGAAAAATATAATAACTCTGGACAATGATTCTGTAGGTTGGCTGAGACCCTGTGTGGTTGTGAGAGGTATAGATTCAGCAAAGGTTTACATCCTAATTCTCTGTGCATTCGGAGAACCAGGCCCATGTTTTCCAGAAGTATTATCATTTGATTAACTTGGTTTCACAGTTTAGACTTCTTGCTGTCTAGAGTGGATCAAAGCATAATTTAAGGATCTGTACTGTGGGCTTTTTCAAGCAAGTCTAAACAGAGAAAGGATGCTGGACACCCTTGTTCTGTTCAGGCTCTGTGCTCCTTGGCTGGTGTTTCCTTACCGTTGGCTAATGCCGGGTTTGTTTATCCCAGGAGACCTGCACGGCTCTCGAGAAGGAAGTGAGTCAGCTGAAGTCCCAGTTGCAGCGGCTCCAGGCTGAGAAGGCAGATCTGCTGGCTATCATTTCAGAACTGCACATCAAGCTGAATACGGCATCAGCAGAGGATTCCTTTGTGGAGATTGCAATGACTGTAAGTGAAGGGAGGCAAAAGAACAGTAAGAGAAACAAAACACAGACAGAAACTTTGGTTCCAGCTTGGTCCTACCTTTTTGCAGACTTAATCTTCTCATACCTGTGTAAAGGATGAGGAAGTCAGGTCTGAGTCTGATTACACTGACAAGGTTTACTTAATGGTATTCTACAGTCCCTGTCTTCCTTTAATGGAAAGAGTGAATCTATAGCCATGTCAATTAAGAGTCTTTATGCCTTTTTGAAGGGGAACAGGAAACTTCCAGCAACAGCAGTGATACAAGATACAGACCTGGTGGATTTGAGAGAAGAGTTTCACGGTTGGACTCTATGATCTTAAAGGTCTTTTCCAGCCTATATGATTTTATGGTCTCTTAGATTACCTGACATGGAGCACTTGTGTCTTACAAGATGTAGTGGTAAAGGACTTGGAGTTTATTTTTTATCCTTCCACTTTCATGCTCAAAGTAAATTAATTTCATAGCCTAAAATATTCCCTGGAGAAGTGAACCTGGTCCAGCTTGTGACTTTGGACTAATTAAAAATGTTAAGAATTTATCTTAATTGGAATTCCTGAGAACATTGGTACTATGTTTTGTTAAGAGGCAACACCTATGCATGGAGGGGGGTGTTTTCTTTTGAGAACAGGTCTCACTTCCTACTGATAAGATATGGAGAGACACAGGCAAACAAAAACAAATGCAAGATCTATTTTTTTTTTCCTACTGTTCTTGTATCTGAAAAATCTTCACAGGCAAAAAGTGCAATGTGAAAATGTGGGTCTCTGCTGTGCCCATAATAGCAGATCCCTCTGTAGGAAGTACAAGTGCAACAAGAATGTAAGATTTAATCAAATCTTGTTTGGAGTTATCAAAAAAACTTCAGCCTGCAGGAAACCTTCAAGGATGCATTCTCATGGTTTTGCTACAAAGATTCCCCTTAGGTGTACAAAGATCAAGGAGTGGGTTTTATAGTGGGAAAGAAGAGTGTTTCTTTTGGAGGCAGGAGAGTTGGTTTTAGGCTTAATATTTAAAGTCGCCTGCAGTGAGGTTGGTTGTTGCTCTGTGGCATCTGCTCATCTTTACACGGGAGAGTGGCCATAGAAGTTGCTAAAAAAAAAGAGAAAGCTAAATCTCATTGTTGTTCCTCTTCCCTGATCAGTCTGAAGAGATACAGGCAAAGGCATGTAAAGTATTTCAGTTAAGAATTCCCAAACATGAAACTGATGTGTAGGAGTTTTGTGGGTTTATTTCTTCTTATTGCCATGATAGCTGTTTCCCCAGTTTTTCTTCCTTCCTTAACTCAATAAAACTGTGTCCTGCTTAGTCCAATTACCAAGCTAATAGTGGGTTTGTTTTTTTTCCTAGGAAGGAGAAATTAAAAGAACTGCAAAGGAACATCAAGAGAATAGTGGCGAAATGACCAGTAATGTTGCTGTCTACATGTATGTAGGTTCTTGTGTGATGTGTGTGATTCAAACTCCTGGAGTGTGCTTTGTCTTCAGCGTGAGGGAACTTTTCTCTATGAGAAATGCACTAGAAAATCCTTTTTCCCTGTGCCCTTGCATCCCCCCATTGCAGTAGCTCTACCTCCCTACCATGTCAGGATGCCCCTCAGCTCTCTGATATTTTGTGTTCCAGTTTTCACCTGCTGACAAGAGGGAGTGTATATTCTGGCCAGTTGGCCAGGCTTTTATGTACATGTTGGCTTGTCAACTTCTCAGGCTTTTAAAAGCCAGACAGCAGAACAAACAGACAAGATAAAGATAAGAGGCTTCAGGAACTCTCTCCTTCTAGTCATTGGAGACTTTCTAGTAGAGTATCTGTCCTCTGTCCAATAATAATGATGTTGGAAAGAATCATTGTTTTTCAGATCTAAACCTGTCCTGTTTGTGTGTGGTTGGTATAAAGTGTATCACAGGAGGGTGGACAGAGAGTGCAAGAACATAGTCCTTATTTTTCAGGTTACTGGCCTTAAGATGCCAGCATTCTGAATCATAGAATCATAGAATAGTTAGGGTTTGAAAGGACCTTAAGATCATCTAGTTCCAGCTGCCCTGCATGGGCAGGGACACCTCACACTAAACCATGCCACCCAAGGCTCTGTCCAGCCTGGCGTTGAACACTGCCAGGGATGGAGCATTCACAACCTTCCTGGGCAATCCATTCCAGTGCCTCACCACCCTAACAGGAAAGAATTTCTTCCGTATATCCAATCTAAATTTCCCCTGTTTTAAGTTTTAACCCATTACCCCTTGTCCTATCACTACAGTCCCTAATGAAGAGTCCATCCCCAGCATCCCCATAGCCCTCCTTCAGATGCTGGAAGGCTGCTATGAGGTCTCCACGCAGCCTTCTCTTCTCCAGGCTGAACAGCCCCAACTTTGTCAGCCTGTCTTCATACGGGAGGTGCTCCAGTCCCCTGATCATCCTCGTCGTCCTCCTCTGGACTTGTTCCAACAGTTCAATGTCCTTTTTATGTTGAGGACACCAGAACTGCACACAATACTCCAAGTGAGGTCTCACGAGAGCAGAGTAGAGGGACAGGATCACCTCCTTCGACCTGCTGGTCACACTCCTTTTGATGCAGCCCAGGATACGGTTGGCTTTCTGGGCTGCGAGCGCACACTGAAGCTGGCTCATGTTCATTTTCTCATCGACCAACACCCCCAAGTCCTTCTCCGCAGGGCTGCTCTGAATCTCTTCTCTGCCCAGCCTGTACCTGTGCCTGGGATTGCTCCAACCCAAGTGTAGGACCTTGCACTTGTCATGGTTAAACTTCATGAGGTTGGCATCAGCCCACCTCACAAGCGTGGAGAGGTCCCTCTGGATGGCATTCCTTCCCTCCTAACCTCTGGTTAGGTTACTTCTCAAATTTTGATAACTACATCACCTCCAGGGCACCAGGGACTTTCTTGCCCCTGGTTGAACCTTTGTCCTTCTCATGGACACTGACAGCTGGTACTGTTTAACTTTCCGTTTTGGATACTGCCCAATTTAGTAGCTACATGGTTGTGGCTGAACTCTCTTAGTTTGCGGCCTTTGCTTTTGGAAGGAAAGGATATAGAAAATGCCAAGGGCGTAGGAGGCCAGATTGCTGTGCTCCAGATACAGGTTATCCCTACGTCACTACAAGAGAGTAATGGCCTTTTAATGTGATGACGTAGAAAACTTGTCCTCATGGTGCAGATAAGAAGTTGAAGGTGAGGGGGTGTCATGGTTGAAACTGAGACAGTTGCTGACCACAGACCAGGCTGCAAGTATTAAGCTTGTCCTTAGCAGTGGCTTGTGAGAACATTCTGATTACAAGAAGACATTCTCTGTGGAACTTGCTTAACTTCTGATGAGCATCGGGGGCCATAACTACAAGAACAGGGGGTGTATATACCTCTTAAAATATTTCCTGTGTCACCACATCTTTGTCCAGCATTGAAACTTTACACTGGTGCCGTTAACAGGTTCAAAGAAATGTGATCCGTTCAGGACGGGTTTATTTCTGTAATAGTAGAATTGTGCACTAAAAATCCCCTGAGAAAAGTTATTTACTTATAATATCCTTGCTGAACACTGTCTTTGGGGTATTGAATTTTTCCCACCAAAGATTTCTAGCTGTCAGGAGCAGGTAGAAGACTCTGTTTTACTTTTATGTATCCAACTACAAAAGCGAAGTTATAAACACATGCTGGTTTACAGCAGAGCTCCTGAAGCTTACGTGCTTATCTTACTGTATAGTTAGACCTTCTGTCTACATGAACATAAAAATGGAGGGAATGGAATGCAGTATTTTACTACCAGAAAATTAACTTACCTATTTTTCAGCTAGTTTTCTATTTCTTTTGGTTCACTTTTACAGTAGCACAGTGCAATTTTGAAAAGAGCTTTAGAATATGAGGGAGGTGAAAGACTGAAGGGATTTTTTCTGAGAAAGAAAGCGATTTCTGATGAGCATTTTTAGCAGAATGTGCTTTGTTTTCCTGGAAAGGAATGAGACAGAGATAAGAAATGCTTCATGTTTCACTGGGGAGAAATTGTTATTTTGGGAACAGACAGCAGCACTTTGCAGAAGGGGCTGCAGAGTAGGTCAGAAGAAATGCACTGGGGTTTGTATTTGTATTTGCTTTTGCTTGCTTTTGCTTAAGTACTGAATAGTTCCCCCAGCTTGAAGGGAACTGTCTGAGAACTGCACAAAGCCAGGATTGCACTTGCACACACAGGGACTGTGACTTGCAGTCTTGGTTCTTGGGAGTGAGCCGTTTGCTTAGAATGTTGGTTTTCAATGCTGTGTGAAGTGGTGGCCTCAGACTGGGTCCCAGAATTAGGGATAAGGGGGTGTTCTAGGAATATCATACCTGTTGTTATTTACATCTGGTTTGGTTTGAAGCAGGAGCAAACCTGCAGATGAAACTAAGAATTTGGAGTCTCAGGAGCTAACTGTGAGCCAGCTGCTCTGCTGCCTTAGAAATGAAACTCAGAAGAGGGAAGAACTTGAGAAGGACCTGCAGGAGCACAAGGAGAGGTATGAAGCAGGTGCACTGTAACATTTGGAGCTGCTTTCTTTCAGGGCTGCTGCAGTTACCAAGTCTGTGGCTGATCAAGAGACAAAGTGAAATGTCAGTGTGACCTCAGTGGGGAATTCCCTGAGTACTCAGTAGTAATAGCTTATTTTTATTTTAGTCCCTACAGAGATAAACCACAGGTTCTCTTCCATGGGCAAAAGAGTTTCCATGGTTTATTATTATTTCCTATAGCACACAGACGTAGACAAATTACCAATTCCTCGTGGGTTCAAACTTTCCCCTGGTTATGTCAGAATGATAGGATGACTAGTTGAGGACATTCTCCCCGCTCACTCCTCCATAGTTGGGTTTGTATGAGTCATCTGCGTGTGGGGCCTTAAGCAAATCACTATGTATAAAACAGGGATTACAGTGCTCTTCGTGATACTGGCAGGCTACATTTAGAAATGTGTGAGCTTGCAAAAGCTCCGTGGAAGTGTCTAAAAGAAGTTTAATTCCAAACCTATCTAAGAGAGTTTTTCCAGTGTGACCTGCATGAGGGTCTTTCTCAGCTTAGTTTTATTGGTATAAATTGTTACGACTGTTCAGGTGTGGTAAATTGCCTAAGCAGTAGCTTTGCAGAGGCAGTAAGACTTCATAGTAGACAACCTAGGAAAGGTTGGTGTCACAGTATTTGCTTGTACGTGGTCTTCCTAGAACAGGAAATGAGCCATAGCCAAATATAGATACCTCACCTCTTAGATACCTCACCCTCTGAAAATATCTAAGGAAAACAGAGGCAATATTAATCACTGGATTTAGTGAACAGGCTGACCCATTTCCAAAGGGTTAGTGGGTTTGGACTGTACCAAAGTGTACCACTGTGGACTGAATGTCACTGGTCTTCACATCACCTGCAGACTTAAATATACATGCTGGTGTCCTGTGTTCTTCAGAAACCCCCATGATTTTGCATTCTTTCCTGCATGTCTGCATTCAGTTCTGCCTCTCATTTGTGGCTGTGATATTATAGTTTCACTTGCATGAAATCCTCAAATAGCTGGCAGTCTCACTTTAAATAAAGGCCAAATCCATGATTATCAGCTCCTTCTGTTTTCCAGACTGTCAAAGCTGGAGAAGGAAAGCAGCAACTGCCTGGAGAGTGGGACACAAACTGAACAGGAAGAGGAGAGTTCAGAGGCTGTAAGTACCTGTCCTCCTGAGCTGAGGTGTAACACTGTACAGCTTACTTGTTGAGGCCAACAATCTTAGGGCCTAGATTTCTACTTGCACTCAGGGAGCACGGGGCAGTTATTCTGCAGAGGGTATGGAACTGCATTTTGAAATCTCCAATGCATATCTTAGAGGTGGTTCCAGACTACAACAGCCACCCAAAAGAGGTAAGATTTGTGGCCAAGAATTGGGGAAGCATGGCATAACTGCAGGTATACCTCATTGCCCCCTCAACAGAGAGATGCTGTTATTTCTGTCTCCAGAAAGTCTTCTAGTTTGAGTAAATTCCTCACTGCTGTGTAGGGCAGCTTTTGGATCAAAATCCAATGACAGCCTACTATAAAATAGAGTTCAGATGTGGAACTTGCATAGCAGCTGTTTTGGTTTGGGGTTTTTCATGGGTTTGGTGGCATGTATTACAATCATGGAGGATAACTATCTTAGATTGAGATGCAGTTCCAGGAAAACTCAGTCCTCATGTCTTCAGTTAAGGGTTTGGATGCATATCGGGGTTGGGATTCAGCTCCATATAGCTAAATTTACGTGCCTACTGTTGTAAGCCTGTCTGCGTGAGGGAAGCACATAAGCTTCCATAGCAGTGGACATCATTAAGGTTTAGTGTAACTGCATAATAAAGGCAACTATTTCTGCATATGAGGTTGTGTGGATGTTCTGAGATGCTGCATGGGGCCAGTAGATACACTGTGGGATCTGCTGGAGACCTTTACCGTTCTGAAGACCAGGTCAGGTATTTAGGACAAGGCTGGCTTAGTTAAACAAGGCCAGTTTGCAGTCAGGCCAAGAGATAGCTTTTCTAGGGAAAGCAGATGACATCTCAGTTAATTCTTTCCAGTATTTTTATCTCAGCTTTGCCTGAGTTACAGCTTGAGCCAGATGCTCCTCATCTAAGAACTGATATTGAGGTCAGCATAGTGACATGCTTGCGATGACAGTCATTTCCATTTATACGCTGTTGGGTTTCCTCAGAAGGCTTGTGTCAGTGGGGCTCATGTTACCTGGCCCAATTGTAAAATGTAGATCTTCATTGAAACAATGGGGGGTGCAGTGTGGCCCGTTTTTGATGGCTCTGCATTAGAAGACATCCTGGGAGGGAGGGAAACGTTCTACAAACCTGCTTTGGGTCTGTCTGGAGAGTGAGGAATGGCTGCGGGAAAAGTGGCTAGAGCACTGACCTCTGCCACAAAGCAGCTGGACACTAACCTCAGCCAGCTCTCCCAAGAGGAGTCATCTTAAAGCAGCTACTACTCTGCCTTCCCTGAGGCTGCCTGTGAGCTTCCTGGAAGCAGAGATCAAGGAGATTATGATTTAGGTGTTGCTCCTTTCCTGGGCAGGGTAAGAAATGGGTGTTGGGGAGAGACAGGCTATATTGCCGGATGGGATTTTTTGAGTCAGATTAGCCTTTTCAGCAAGGCTGCCACACTTGCTTCCCAGAAGCATGGATTGATTGCATTACAAGTAAAGTAAAATACCTTGAATTATGATGGATTTCACCAGGGACCAAGAACTCACAGTCCAGCTTTATTAGAAGTAAGATTCTTGCCAGTGATACATGGTTTCATTTGTTGAGATGTTTTCTGTTAAGGCTATTTCTACTGATGTCTAGTTTTCTGCAACTTGAAATATCATCTTAACAAAAATCAGAGCTTTCATCTGCGAGTGTGATTAGGTTAGTTGGATTGCTGCATGCAGCTAAGATGGTAGAACTGTGGGCTCTGTGAGTGTTCACACTGTTATGTTCAGTCCCTTTCGCTTGATGGGACTGGTGAATGATATTAGCTTGGGCAGCTTATGGAAGGTATCCTCAACAACAACATCTGTCAGTAGACAGTTGTGTTCTGTCTGCAACTCAGTCCCACTGGCTGTGATCCAGACTTCAGCTCTGAGATGAAAGCTGGAGGTCATCATGGATAAATGATGTGAAATGGATAAATACTGTGAAATGACTAATATTGCTTTAGTTGCTGGGGATGTGGTGGACTTTCCATGTTAGAAAACTGGAGCTTTTCTTCAAGGAAATAGGACAGCAGCATGCTTTTGATACACCTGGAATCTTTTTAGCCACAGCCAAACAGCTTATGCCCAAGCTGAACTGGAGACTTTCCATGCATTTGATGAGGTAAGACAGTATCAATGACAATTACAGTACTAAGGACAATTAAAGTGATGCTAATGTGATGCTGAGAGTCAGAAGTTCCTTCAGGAAAGCTCCGGGATATATCTCTAGAGGCTCCAAACCAGCAGGAGTCAAAGGTTTTACAACTTCTGGAGTGCGGGGCTATATTTTAAGAATTGAAACTGTGAGGTGGCCTTTGAGCCTTGGGTTGGAGGAGACCCCAGCTTTGTTTCTTTCCTCCTCTTGTTTTCTGCCTGTCTTCAGGATCCTTCAGTAACATTCCTGTGGTCTGAAGGCCAAATGAAAAGGATAGAAACTCACAACAAAACTGATTACAATCTTCTCCTTTTGTTTGCAAACTTGAATTTGAATGCATGGTAATGGGATTACCATTTACGGTTGGATTTTCTCCTTCAAAACATTAGGAACTGAAGTCTTCCAGACCTAGGATTCCCATGTGTGTGGTGTGGGAGAGGCTGTATGTGTAGGAAGAGTGCCAGTTGGCTGGAGGGGTTTCATGTGTAATCTAAGTAAATTACAATGCATAAAACCTTTTGTGTTCTCTTATTTCTGCCTGAAACAAGAATGGAGGAAACTGGAATGGAAAGGATAATACCAATACAGGATATAACTGGGAGGAGAAACTCTAAGCTTTGAGTCTGCCTCATCTACTTCTCTACTTCCAAATTGCCTTCTGCCCTACACCTGCTGTCACAGCTCTTTCTAAAGAGCATGCTGATGCTAGCAGCCTACCTAGGGATAGATCTTTTATGTTTCTTTGAAAGACTGCAGCTGTTGCTCAGGGCAGTGGCAGTAATCACAAAGCCTGTCTGCTTTTCTTGTGTTTTAAATTGTCAACTCTTGAGAAGGAAAATGTAGATGATGACAGAGGGACTCTTCATCAGGGACTGTAGCAATAGGACAAGGGGAAAACTTGAACAGGGGAAGTTCAGGTGAGTTATAAGGAAGAAGTTCTTTACTGTGAGGGTGTGAGGTACTGGAACAGGTTGCCCAAAGAAGTGGTAAATGCTCCATCCCTGGCAATGTTCAAGGCCAGGCTGGACAGAGCCTTGGGCGACATGGTTTAGTGTGAGGTGTCCCTGCCCATGGCAGGGGGTTGGAACTGGATGATCTTAAGGTCCTTTCAAACCCAAACCATTCTGTGATTCTATGTGTTTCCCACCTGCATGAGGTATATTCTAGCCAACGTTGAAAAGTTAGTTACTAGTGTTGTCTTTGAATCACTTGGATTTTATTAAACTGTTAAGTAAAAATGGGGTTCTGACATTTTTAGGTAATTGGTGATTGTGAAGCTTTGTGGACTTGTTACTATCAAGTGTAATGGTGCATAATGACTTATGCTATTTTCTCTAGACAAAGAATGATATTCCTGCTTAGATCTCTTAGCCTGCAGCTTTGCTATCTTGAATTGTCCATATGTAATTTTCCTTATTTTTTCCTCTAAAAGGTTGGCAGTGAAGTAGAAGCCCTGAATTTGCAAGTCTGTGCTCTGTTTAAAGAGCTTCAGGAAGCCCATGAGAAAATAAAAGAAGCAGAATTGATTCAGAAGAAGCTTCAAGAAAAGTAAGGTTCAGAAGGTTCTGCTGTGACACCTGGTATATATTTGTATGACAACTCCCAGCTTGGGAAACTCACCAGCCATACAAATACCAACTGAAATATCTGTTTCATAGAAATGGTGCTCCTTCTTTGTAAATGGAGTTGAAAGGAATACAGTATTTGTCAGAAAGTCTGAGCTGCCAACCCAGTTCTACAAATAGAACCCCAGTGCCCTGAATGTTAAGATTTGGGTTTTAAACCTTCCTGATATAAAGGCAAATCTTTCCTGTTCTCTGCTTCACATAATGAATCCCTCTTCTAGTCTTAGGGGAAGAAGCTGAGGGACCTCATGACCCTTCTCACATGAACTGCCAGTGCTTTTGAAGACCAGTTTGCGTAGGTTATAACAAGCAGTTACAAGACCCTCACTTTCATTCCTTAGTCTTCTGTTAAATTTCAGTTCTTTGAGATTCATAATAGTAACAAAGTGTTAGTTTCAGTAGCTTTGTTTTCTGATGGTAGTGAATAGGTTCATTCTTGTCTTTCCTCCTTCTTCATCAAACTAAGCCTTTAAAGGTGAACCACACAAAGATTCTTATAGTACGTCTGGCATGGCAAATCCCTCAGGAAAAGGTGAGCAGGAGAGATCAACCTTTTTTCCTTTTCAGGTGCCAAGTACTGGAAAGAAAGAGCTTGGCTGCTGCAGCAGAAGTGGAAGAGAAGCAGCAGCTAATATACACTGTCAAGAAGCTAGAACTTCAGGTGGAGAGCATGCAGGCAGAGGTCAAGCTGGAACAAGCCAAGACACATGAGGAGAAGTGAGTATGACTTGGTTTTATATTCCAGGAAGGTGGTGTCAGTGAGGAAGGGGAAGTCCAAGGCAAAGTGGCCAAAGGGAAATTGAATCTGAAATACTAGTTTTGTGTTTTGCATCCTTTAAAGCCATGTTATAATTGTAGAATCTGAACTAGAAACCTGCGTTCACCTCAGTGTCTATGTCACTTTGAATCTCGAGTCTCCACGTTAGGCCCCAACTATATTCTTTCATCTACTGAAACCTCACTTAGGAAAATTTGAGTTGTAAGCTCTTGACTTCTGTTGTCTTCTTGTCATAAAGTCAAAGGTGGAATAGGGTCAGGTATGACATACAAGTAGAGGAAGCAGCAAAGTGACATAAGCTGGCCTGCTGACTCGCAGGGGTAAATGCATCCACATGTTTGAGGGCAGCAACAAGTCAGGTGGTGACAGTGATGGGAAGGTGACATTAATGAAGAGGTCTGCGGCCCCTACAATATGTTTGCAACTAGAAGAAGTAAGCGTGCAGTGAAATGAGGTGAAAAGGCTTGCTGTTTGCTCTGGCTTCCTGCTCCCTTTCGTGTGCAGTCTGTTTAAGGAGTGTGAAAATCTGTCAAAGCTGCAGAGAGGCTGAACTTCCTGAAGGACCTGCCTTCAGCTGCTCATTATCTCTGCAGTCTGTGTCTGGTTCTTCTCGTGATGAATTCTCCTTCACTTGAAGTCTCTGAATCAAGACTTGGATGTCTTCCTAAGAAAGGTGTTACATTTTGAACAGCATTTGTTAGCTTGATAAAAATACTGGTGTGATGGATTCTTCCATATGAAATGCAAATATCAGTAAGGACATTTCTTTGGACTTAGTCCATGGATAGAGCAGCACACAACTCGTGGGAAGGGGATGTTGAGACATGGAGCATGATTTTTCTCTCATCAGAAATGCAGACTGATTTGCAAGGAGCTGGTGGTGGCTTTTTTCCTAAATTCTAACAGATTATTTAGATTTCAGAGAATTTTGAAGTATTTCAAACTTTCACCTCTCTTCTTGTCCTCAACAGGGCAAGATACAATAGCTTGCAGGATGCTTATAGCAAAGTCCTTCCTCAACTCACTGAGGCAATGAAAACAATCGATCAGATGAAACTCAAAGAGGTAATTCATCGCAAGAAGAAATCAGAATTAATTAGGGGGGAGTGGGCAAGGATGGGAGGATGTATCTAGGAACAAATGCGGGCAGTGGGAAATATCCCTTGCAGTGTCCTTTAGGGAGTTCTTTTAACTTGATACAATATAGTTTGAAAAGTCAAACCTAATCTTTAAAATGAAATATTGTTCACCACTGTTATCTTAGTCCAAGTTCCTTTGACGTCCAAAGTTGGAACCTTTTCCAAGGGCAGGAGGGTTAAGAAGCAAACTTTCACTTCACGCAGGGCTGTATTCTGAATTCATCTCATCAGAGTTCTTCCTTGCAGCTGGACAGAGTGGATAAAGTGGTGGTGGAGCAACTAACTGCAAAGGTGGAATTGGCAGAACAAGCCCTTGCTGCAAAGCAGCTCCAGATAGATGAAATGAAGCAGATAATTGCTAAGCAAGAGGAGGACCTTGAAACCATGGCTGTGCTCCGTGCTCAGGTATCCATCAGCCCTTCTTTAGGAATTGCTTAGTTCCCCCAGCCCAATATTCAGAGACCAGAAGAAGGTATTTAATGGCCCACTCTGGAATACTGAATACTTTTCATCAGTTCTGAAGCATGACTCCCTTACTCAGCCTGCCTTGCAGATCCCTGCAGAGCCTGTTCCACATACCCTACAGTTCTGTAGGAGGAGCTGTGTATGCTGGAGTCTGGCACAACAAACAAAAGTTGCAAATTGATGTGTATTTAAAACCACAGTCGTAAGAATCACTGCATATGTTTCAGGGATAGTTTTAGTCAAACCAGTGTGTGTAAACAGTGACTAAAAAGGGTCTGCCTAACCTTTAAAGCACAAAGCCGGCATCTTGGCCCAGTTCCCCTGCCTGCGCCACAGATCTGCTGTCGTTGGTCAAGTCACCTCCTCACTGCTTGTCGTTGCTGCATTTCTGCCTCTGTACAGCAGAGGGCAATAGCACTATCCCAGATAAGACACTTGAAGTATCTTACCCAGAATCCACTGAGTTTTCCTCACCTTGTAAGTAGTGCAGATCTTCGCTTTGCAGAGTGTAAATGCTGTAGGAGTGCTTTGAGTAGATGCAGACTATGATACAGATTTACCATGTATGACTGTGGTTCACCTAAGTTACAAATTCTCAGCAGGATTTCATTTTTCTGATCAGATGGAGGTTTATTGTTCTGATTTCCATGCTGAGAGGGCAGCCAGAGAGAAGATCCATGAGGAGAAGGAGCAGTTGGCTGTCCAGCTGGCACACCTGCTGAAAGAGCAGCAAAACCTGGAAGATCTTAGCCGGTGAGAACAGACTTTGGCTGAGCTGCCTCTGGACTGTGTTGTTGAGTCCAAACAAGAAGAGTTTTGACTGTTCTTGCCAGCAGCTCAGTAGAATGGCAAACAACTTTGCAGACTTTTATTTCTTGGTTAATCTGAATTTTAAAATTACCTGATTTCTCATTTCAGTTTTGTGATAGAATCTCTATAAGGTGTCTTGGTTCTTAAGTTTTCACTTGGGATGATTCATGCTTGGTAAATTCTCCCTGCTGGTTTCATGTGAGTTTCTTTGGGTTCTGGCCTCAGTTTTAGTGGTGAATCTGCAGCTAAGCTTGCTGCATGTGTGCCAGGGATATCTGCTGCTTCTCCAGGTGGCAGTGGCAAGTACCCGTAGTTTACAGTACTGCGATATCCTGGAGTTGTACCATTTCAGCACTCTAAGCTGCAAAAGAGGCAAAAGGAGCATTAACCATGTGTCCTCAACTCATGTTGTGGAAGCCATGGGTACAAGAGTGCCCAGAATTTGAAGAATCAAGTTACATTTCACATAAATTGTATGCTCAACCCTTTTTCTGGTATAACTTGTCTTTCTACTTTAACCAAATGTGCAGTTTGCCCTGAACAGCTGAGTCCTTACAGTTTTCCAGAGGAGACTGCCCCAGACCCCTGGGTGTGTAGCTGCCCAAATCCTGCTGGTATCAGTTGTATGACCCTGATCTCAGCAGAAAGTCCAGGCACGATCTCACAAAGCAGCAGTGTTTCTAGGTCCTGTTTCCAAGCAGGAGTTGTGAACTAAATGCATGACCAGCTGACATGATTTACTTGGAAATCCTTTGATTTATTTTGAATCCTCTCAACTTTTCTGGGGACAAAGGGAAGATACCTTTTGCTGAGTCTTTTTTCAGAGCTTTTGACTTCTTGGTTCTCCACAGAAACCCTCTGGCAGAGATGCAGAGTCGGCACGGAGCCAGGGCACTAGATCGGGAGCACTCACCTTGCCTTGTCCGAAGAGGTACCATAAGCATTTTTCAGCTCACAGGGCCAGACCCTGCTGTGTGCAGTTTAAAACAGCTTTGCTTGGCTGCAAGCAGCTCCCCAGCTCCCCTGTGGCTATTTTGGCAACTGGGTAGCTGGGAAGAGCATGATTGTCTGGCTGCTAGGAGCAAGCCAGTCCTCTTTCAACCACTCCACAAAGAGTGGAAAACTCAAGTAATATAACAAGGAATCATTTTTCTTCTCTGCTTGCAGGAACTGCTAGTCAACACTGGCCAGAGGAGCGAAATATCTCAATATATTCATGTCCCAAATGTGAAGAAATTCTACCTGATCTGGACACACTGCAGATTCATGTTATGGACTGCATTAACTGAGTGATGCCCTCCAGTTCTTAATCTTCTGGAATCTGACCTGCCAAATACATCCTGCTTGAATAAAACTCAACTCTACATCCCGTGAAGGAGGTTTTCAGTGGTTTTCTCATGAATCCAATGGGAAAGGGTAAAATTACTATCCTGCTCTTTACTCACTGATCTTGTTTTAATCTGCTTTAGGAAAATAATTTTTATAGGTTAACATGGATGTGTTAAAGCAGTTCCAGTGTGTCTGCTACTATGAAATACAGGAACATTCCCCTGATATGATCTGCTCGCATGGCTATCCTGCAGAATGGAGCTAAATCACTGAAGTCAGAAGAGGGATGAGATAGTTGTTGAGCAATTAAAAGAACTGTGAGGCTGTAAATACTTCATCTCTCATATACCATGTATCAGGAAACTAATATGTTTAAAAGCTGTTTGAGAAGCTTTTAGCAAAATGGAGTAGTGCTGCATTCATTGAGCCTTTGAAATGAACCCTGCTCTTTCTCCAGATAGCAGCCTTACTGCTACCCTTGTGACCATACTAATCATAGAATCCCAGACTGGTTTGGGTTGGAAAGGATCTTAAAGATCATCCAGTTCCAACCCCTGCCACAGGCAGGGACACCTTCCACTAGAGCAGGTTGCTCCAAGCCCCTGTGACCAGCCTGGCCTTGAACACTGCCAGGGATGGGGCAGCCACAGCTTCTCTGGGCACCCTGTGTCAGTGTCTCACCAATCACATAGTGAAGAGTTTTTTCCTAATATCTTACCCAAATCTCCTCTCTTTCAGCTGATGTTAATCTGATGTTAAATTTCTGATGGTTTATGTAACTTCTTGCTTTAGTCAGATATGGTTAGGATTTAAAACAGATCATTTGCGTCTGATTTATGTAGCTCCTGGTGTACCCAAGTCACTTGGTTTTATAGAACTGTTCATTTTTAAGGTGGTGTCTTGATTCTTCTTTCTTATAGTAACAGTTGATTTGCACCTGTACAGTATTGTGCTAGAAAGCGCTGAAATGGATGTAGCCTTATTTAATAAGAGAAGTATAATGGATTTTCACATCTCAAAATAAATCTATTGCAAGGATAAAATTATCTATACCTGTGAATACTTTGGAGGCTGAAACAGGACTGCAAATACCTACAGCTGAAAGCGTGTGTACACTGTAGTATGTTGGTTCTGTTTTTACCATCCCTGGTGTTTCTGTTATACCAAAAAACAGTTATTAACTTGCCATTTTGTAAGGGAGGAAAGTACACATCTTTTGATAAATATTAACCAGCATGAACAGTAAAACACAACTGGAGCAAACTGCTGGGATCAGTGCAAATGACAAGTTTCACCTCTTGTGAACAGCCAGTGTTTGCACTGCTGGAAACTGGCAGGGAGGGGGAAGTAACAGATGCAGGAAAACCTTCAGCCAAGATGTTGCCTCCTTATGGCATCATCCATCATCAGGGTGGGATGATCACAAAACTGCAATACGGAAGTTCAATTTATTACCTCTTGGCTCACCCTTCTGCTTCAAAGCTCACATTATAATAAGCTTAAATGTTTCCTGAGTTGACACTCAAGTCTTAGAGGTGTTGGGTTGCCTGAATCCTCCTTCATATACAGGGAACGTGGTCTGTACAAATGGAACACTTGTAAGATAAAATGCAAGAGAAACAGTGTTTATACCACAGCCCCTGTACTGGAGGAGGTTTATGTAAGGGGCAAAACTATAACAAAATGCAATTTTAATTAGTTTTTGCTTTTACAGTTGTAATGGCTTTAACAAAAGATGGGGTGCTCTGATCCCAAAAACCTTACTCTAACCATTGAGTGTGCTTATCGGAGGGACTCAGTGGTTAAAAGGTTGTTCAGAATAAAAGCAAGCAAACAGGAATTTGTGTGTCTAGATTTTAGGCAACTGCATATTCCTAATGCAGAAAGAACTGAGCAGAAGGGAAAAGGTGAGGGAGATGTCTCTTGTGGAGATGGTCACCTAAAATCCCACCGAAGGACTGTGTAGACCATGATCTTCCCACAGAACTAGCGTGAGTGAAAGTATGTAACCAAATGCAGCTGGTCCATAGCCTTTACTATTGACTTATTTTACAGAGGCCTTTCACTTCCACAAACGCTGGATTCCAATTTTAAGAGAGATTAGCTAAAAGAAGTATGAATTTTTGTCATTGCTTGTCTTCTCTCCACTGTGCTCACAGGGTATTTGTGTAGATCCTTAGTCAGTATTTTGCCCAGTGAGAAGAAGGCATATTCATGCACCTGGGTTCTCTTTGAGGGTGGCTGTTCTAGCATAATAGGGTACATGGAAAACTCTGCTGGGCCCCAGCTTCAGACAAGGTCACACAGAGCATTCTCAAGGAAAAGAAGTCAAGCTGTAGCACAAGGTCCAAGCATTACTGCTGGTAGTGATGGCTAATGCAGAGCAGCGTGGCGCTCCAGGTATAGGGACACGAATGCTCTTCTTCCACATGAAGGTGAAGATCAGGCTGATGATCATCCTTCTGTATTCTGAACTTCTGAATATTAAAGGATGATACAATCTGTGGGAGAGATGCTTGTGCAGTGAAATTTACTTATATACATATATATAGCTTAAGTCATCTTGCGATGTTGAGGTAAGGGCAATGGAACAGCTTTGGAGAAAGCCTTACAGATGCTGGATACCACAACCGAATGAGTAGAGTTACAGCAGGTATTTTGTACTTGTACATGACAAATTCTCCTGTCAACCTACTTCCATAAGTAAGTGCTTCTCCAATTTGTGGTGTGGATGAAGATCCAAATCGTACAGGAAAAAAGACACTGAGCAGATCAATAATGGAATTAGAAATAACCAGGGTGACTCAGTATTTTAGTCAAGATTTTGCTTCAAACCTGACACAGAAACTATTCAAGAACTGATTAATTCAAAATTAAGACAAATCAATAGTGTCAGGTTTATGTTTCACTCTCAGCACATGAATATTCTTAAAATATACACAAGAAAAATACCTATAGACGTTTCTTAGGGTGAAGAAAATCTTCCTTCAGTGTCTTTTTCATGTCATGCTGTCAGTGAATTCTCAGGTACCAATACCAGGAGAAACAATCCCCCTTTTCTTTCCCTTATAATTAAAGCAATGAGTTGTTTTATTTTGCTGGGTATCACTGTTCCAGTTATCTCTTGTAGACTCTGGATTCTTGTTTTCTGTAAGCTGTAACTCGTGTTCTCACACAGCCTCATCCATAATTTCAGGTAACTGAAAGAGAGCTGACTGAAATCTGTTGTGAAGAGGTATTCATCAGCTTGGTTGCAACCTTCATCAATCACAAGTATTCCCAGCAGATGCAATCTCTTATTGGCTTTTAATTGGTTCCCTGCAACAGTAGGATTTATGGGCTGTTTTCCCCTGAACCCAATTTTATTACAGGAGCTTTGTGATAGTTATGGATACTGCAGTTATCAAAATCTGATGGAAATACTGCTGGACCAAAATCAAACTAATAGAATGATAATAAAGCAGATTGCATCTGAGGAGCATTAACCTTAATGAAAACAGAGAAAATCAATGTGAAAGGCCAAAGGAGGAATTCCTTCTGCATCTGTCAAGTCAAAATTAACCATTTTAAGAGGCTTCAGAAAGAGGGGGAATCTCAGCACAGGAATACTAATGGGCATTAGCTGAAGTAGGTCTTCACAGAAAGTAAAATAGTACATCTGATAGTACAAATCAGGAGGGACAAGGAGCTGCAAAGAAGAAAACAGAAACCTCTTCATGCAACAGGAAGGATTATTTTCCTGCTGTTGTTATCATGAACTGCAATCCGGAGATCAGATGATCTATCATGACAGGAGGCCACGGCCAGCAGATGCTCTTTAGCACTTGCTAAAGAAAGGTAAGATAAAATGTATTTGTGTTTTAAAGTGACTAAATACCACATGTCCATGAGATAGTACCTGTCTGCATCTCTGTTTTAACAAAGGACATCTTTAAGGTCCTTTCCAACCCTAACCATTCTGTGATTCTGTGGTTCTTGGTGTAGGAGCGTGCCCCGCGAGCCTGACTCAGTGTGGAACACGAGCCAGAAGCGTTTTGTTCCACTTCAGTTTTAAAATCCAGACTGGGAAGGGGCCATAACAGCCCTGCGGGGTGAGCCCGAGACTGGTGAGCAGCAAAGTATCACTGGATTAGCAAACTTCAAGTCATAGGAGCGCACAAGCCATCATTACTCCAGTTAGATGGAGAGTAGGAAGACTTAGTGATTAGCCTGAGTCTCACTGGCAATAACCAGCCAGAGGGAGGGAAAAACACAGCACCCTGATGCCTGCCCACAGTTTTACACCCATGTCAAGGTAGACACAAGGTGTTTCCCCACTTCCATCACAGATGAGCAGCAACACAGAGGAGCTCCCAGACTAAGTTAGTCCGGCACGCCTGAGCTAGGCATGTGGTTTTGGAGTGAAAACCCAAAACCAACATAGTCCAACATGACACTCCGAACAGCCCAGTTGACAACTGTTCAGCAGAGCATTCACCTCTTAGCTGTTTCCTGCCACCTGCTGGAACTTCTTGATTCCTTCAGCTACCACAGAATTGCTGTCCTTGATTTCTCTTTCCTAACCCAAACTGGTACTGCTGCCCTTTGGACACCAGAGATCCCATCTTTCTGTGTGTACTGTCTTGCAGGGTGGGGTTAGTGCAAGAGCCTTGGGATCTGAGCTCAAACCCTTCTGTTTTGGGAGCAATTTCTGCATATAACTGATGCACAGAAATAGGATCTAGAGCAGTGAGCGTGTACTTACTCAGGAATACTGTTTTTCACAGAATCATAGTTGCTTGTACCAAAGAAATACTGAACTGGACTACACAATCCTGTCAGTTGCTCATCGACTTGGCAGTCCTGGATTGGACTTGATCATAAAGGTCTTTTCCAACCTAGCTGATACTCCTATGGCAATACCTGGGTTTGCAGTTGCTGCCTTAACACAAGTGCAGAGATTATTTAGCTTATTCTTTACTCTAGGAAGTTCTTCCCTGTGAGGGTGCTGAGGCGCTGGCACAGGGTGCCCAGAGAAGCTGTGGCTGCCCCATCCCTGGCAGTGTTGGACACAGGGGCTTGGAGCAACCTGCTCTAGTGGAAGGTGTCCCTGACTGTGGCAGGGGGGGTGAGAATTGGTGGAGCTTTAAGGTCCTTTCCAACCCAAACCGTTCTGTGATTCTATGATTCTATTCAGACGACTATAACTAGAGGCCCCCCTGACCAGACACGGCCAGTTCTCCATAGCCAGAGGAGTCTAACCAGAGCCCACATCTGTACAGACATAGGTGTGGCGCCATGGTGCTACCCCAGGGGACAGGCCATGACATCTCACACCGGAGGCGTCTCGCAGTGCCATGACACGGTCACCCTCACTCCCGTGTCCCTCTCGGCACAGGACATTACCCCATGGCCCGATCCCCACCAGCTCCCCTACAGCCAAGATGGCGCCGAGCTGCCCCCCTCTGCCAGGCCCGGGGCTGGCGCGCTCCCCGCACCGGAAGCCGAGCATGCGCGGGACGGGGCGGAGCCAGGTTGGAGTTTTGGCGGGTGCCGGACAGCGCGGGGATGGTGGTGAGTGGGGCCGTGAGGGAGAGCCGGGGGAGCGGGCCCCAGAGAGCGGCACTGGGGGGAGGGAGGGATGGAGTAGAGCAGAGCTGGGGTGAGGGGTCCGAGACCCCCGGTCGGGGTTCCCCTGGTGGGGAGGCGGCCGAGCGAGGAGGGGAAGGAGGCTGCTGATGGCGGGGTGGCCCCTGGGGTATAACTGGGAATGCACTGGGGGCAGCGATGGCGGTCCCGCAGTGCCGGCACAGCACAGCCGGACCTTGGTACTCCGGTGCTGGCCGTCAGTCGGAGGGAGATGCCGGGCTGGCCCGTCCCGCTGAGCGGAGTGGTCCCCGGGCCTGTGCCACCGGCGGGACAGCAGGAGCTCTGGTGGCCCCTGAGCCAGTCCTGCTCGTGTATGCGCTTGGGTTGTGTTTTGTGCCTTGCTGAAAATTAATATCCTGGAGCAAGAGAAAAGAGAGAGCTATTAAAAGTGAAGTTTATGGGCGAAACCAAAGCCTCT